ACTAGAGCATCATAAAATTTAGAGAAATGATTGAAATTGATGTCATGTTCATATAGGTTGGCTTTAATACAAAGGACAAATCGAACTTTCTTAAAGATAAATTGGGGACACCAACCTCAGCTAATCAGGTAGGTGGCCTTACCATCCATATGGTTATATTTGATGTTGACTGTGCCCGTGGTTCTGCAAGTGTCATATATATTGATATGTGTGAAATGTTTGTGAATCGATATGCTTATGATATGTTATAATATGTGAATTGTATGATAATACTTACGGTACCATGTGTTCAATGGTATATTTGAGATAGGATACGAGAAGGATGCACTAAACGTAATGTAACGATAGAAGTAAGACATGTTCATGAAACGTTATGGTTTGGTTACGTATCGAAGTGCTATGGGTATGACAGATTGATAAAAACGATATGGTCACGATGGATTCATAAGACAATACTATTAGGTTATGGGTAGAAAGGGATAGGATTATGATAGATTGATAGAACGATAGCGTTGCGATACGTTCCTGTAACTTTATGACTAAGGTACGTTCAGGTAACGACACAACTATGATATGTCTAAAGACGTTAAGGCTATGATAAATTAGGGAAGGATATAACCATGAAGTTTTTACGATATGATATGATTATGAAATGACATGTGAAGGACGGATATATATCCAACAAGTGTCAAAGAGGGACGTGAGAATAAATTATTCTCAAGCTTTCTTTACATCGGTCAAAGAGTATTTGATAAGCTTTCAAAATTAAGGGTTTTCTTTTTTCTTCTTCCTTCTTTCTCCCTTTTCAAGTTTAATTTTTTTTTTAAATAAAAAAAAGTTTAATGTGAGAATGAAGAAGTTAGAAAGGAGAAAGAAATGAATGTAATAAAACTTTTTCGTCGGTAGGAATGGAAATGGTGAATGGGTCCTTGACGATAGTCGACCGCTATACTCTAGTTTTGGATGTAAGTGATGATTATCAGCAATATGAGTTGTGTCAATACCACACCGTTATCAAGAGGAAGTAAAGTAGAGTAGAATAGATGAAGCGATCCATTTGTTGAGAGTACTGTAAGAGGCACACAAGTAACTACTCTTTCACATCTGAGGGATGAGTCTCATAGATCCAACTATAATATCAAAGAAACTTCGGGTGGTAGTGATTGCTTGCATTGGTGTCTCCGTTGTATCCTAGACACATGTAACATGATTTTTCTTGCTCAAATATAGCTTCATTTGTCTTAAAAGTTCACTTTTGAGTAATCCTAGAAGGCTTCTTAATTTGCAGCCTTGGGTGAAGATGATCACTCCGAGGTGGGTTTGTTAGTGAAGATGCAATTATATAATCAGGGTTTTATATCAA